ATGGAGGAGCAATAGGAAAGAAGAGTAATGCAAAAAGATATTAGTGAGAATGTACATGGAGGAGCAATAGAAAAAGATTAAAAATATGAACAAATGGAAGTATACAGAAAGATAAATAGAAACAAATACATTTGTAGGTGCAGAAAAGTTCTTAATATGAACAAAGCGGATTCCAAAACAAACTTTGGTTATTTGGTCAGATCTTGTGTAGTGGGTTAAGCCAAAAAATTTTAAGCATTCAATTATAAATAGAACACAGAGGAGAGAAAGGGAAAAAAGGAATTAAAAAGAGAGTAGAAGAGAAAAGAAACTGAGAGAGAGAGGTAAAAGAAAAATCAAAACATATCAAAGAATTTAAACGAGACAGACTGGAAAGAACTGCCAAAAAGTAAAGAAAATCATCCAATCAAAATCCTCATTTGCACAACCAAGCAAATCTGAATTTATTGTATTGAGAACAGAAAGTCATCTTTCCTCATTTTTCTGTGTTGGTAATAAACCCCTGTTGGTATATTTGTTTAATGACACATGTTAAATGCATTGGCAAGGCAATAAGAGACGTCCAACAGAGTGCTCTCTCTGTGGTAGCCAATGGTATAAGGGACCTTTTTTTCCCATTGAAGCTTGACAACAAGATTCTACACTACAGACAAAACCTCTTAGAAAAGAAGAAAACAATAAAACAAGTAACATAACAAAAAACAATGAAGGTATAATATTCGTAATGCTTTCTTCTCACATTCATTTGTTCTGGTTACCATTTTTGCTATGCTATTTTGTTCAAGGCTACAAAATAAAAATATTAACCTGAAAATTTGAGTTATATTCTTAAACAGTCTTGTCTGTTGTAGACTTCCATATGATTGTAATGCATAGTGTCCAACTTGTTCTGAAATATCTAAACTATCATTTGTATCAACTATTTTAAAATTATTGGTCGTCAATTAATTTATAAAGTGTGTGTATATATATATATATATATATATATATATATATATATGAAAGGAAGAGGTTATAGTAGTTCCAATGAGAGAAGTGTGTATATTAAAAAGAGAGAAACCATAAACAATTTTGGTTGTAATGTGGATTTTTTAAAAAAATATTATGCTTTATTTTCCATAATTTTACTACATGGGTTTCTGGTCTTGCGACTGTCATCAGGCAAAGGGTGGAGATTTCCACATATTATTAAAAATAATTTATTTTTTTCTTATGTTTTTCAATGTTAAATATTTTCAATATGAGACATTCTCTTTTTTGTGTGTTAGTGATCCAAGTGCCTTTCTTGAACTATATATATATATATATATATATATAAAATTTTACTTATAAGTATAAAGCTTGGTTCCAAACACATTAGATATGAATTCCAAACCTATTATTATATTTACACTATGAGTACTAGTTTAATTTCATTGGTATAACTATGGTACTTTATGTGAAAAAAAAGAGTTATCCCCCTTGATACCTAGCTTGTTTACCTATTTCAATTTTAAATAATTGTTTTCTTTTTACTGTTTTTTTTTTTTTTTTTTCTTCTCCATTTTTTGAGCTTATGAATTTGAGTGATATGAATTATAAATAATTAACTATAATAAACTATAATTAAACAAGTCTAAAGTCACAATTTCAAATCAACACCATGAGAATGCCAGACTCTATAACGGTCAGAATATAGTCAGCACCTGAAGATTGCAAGATTACATGAAATTCTGAGCCGTGTTACCAATGTTGGATATTATTTATTTCACTAATGTATACTTATAGCTCTGTTACATAACACTGAGCACTGTATTTATAACACCTGAGGAAGAAATATATTTATATGTATGTACAAGTATATGTGCATATAGGTATATTTTTTTTTAATCATATATATATATATCAGTATTTTCTATGATGAAAATTCAGGATACAGATTGGGAAAAGCAGGTCATGCAGGAACTTTTCTGCACCTCTTGGTGTGTGCATTCCATGCTTATAATTCTCAGATTGCATAAACTTTCTTAACTTTACATACATACACACATACCCACACAATGGCTGTTTAAATATGTTTCAGATGTATATATTTGTGTGCTTTCTAAAAGACATATACAAAAGAAAGTAGCAAGACATTCCTAACCCTACCTAACATAGGTCACCCCAAACCCCAAGGGCATTTTGCCAAGTTCTTTGTTTCCTCTCAAGTTAAGAATAAATATTTCCCCAGACCCTGGTCAACACAGTTTGCAAACACAAGATAAGGACACCAACAATAACAAACAAAATAAATAAATAACTGCAACCACCACCCTCACCCTGGACCATCTGCCACCAAACAAAAACAAGAAAAGCAAAAAGGTTATAAGAAATGAGAAGAAAGAAATCGGGTATTTTGTTTGAACTTAAAAATGAATGAAAAAGATAGAAATAATGATGATAATAATTAATACCCGCAATAGCAGGAGCACCTGGAACAGTTCTGCAAACTGAAAGAATTAGATATCTAAAGTGATACTCGAACTCATGCTAGACACCCCTGTATTACTCCAGAAAGCACCAGATTCCTCCTGGCATGCTCTAGCATGGCAGAAGGAATCAGGTACAAAACCCAGATCAAAATGAAATATTGCTGCCCAATGCTCACTTTCCAACCTTGACAGAATCAAAAAGCATTTGCGCGGACTTATAGGTGATGAATTATTATTGTCTACCTTTCAACACTTTTCACACAAACCGAACATTGTTAGCCTCTTGCTGCTCTATCAGTATTTGCATGGTAAATGTTCATGTGAACTACATTGCCAAGTTCCACTAGTCCAGACCTTCACAGCTAGGACCCACAAAGTCATCTTAAGCACTAAGTTGAGGATCAACCATAATCTATCCTACATCTCCTCATAATATACAACCATTGCTCTCTCCCCTTCTATGCACTTTCAACATCCCCATTCACTAACCCTTTAACTTGAGTGGCACTTAGGCCTTGTATTGGGTGAACAATAGTAAAAATAAATAACTAAAATATTAACAGAAACCATCAGGAATGAAAAAATACAAAATATCAAAATAAAACCCTACAGGCAAACGATTCACCAATGTTCACAAGAAATCTTCTTGATGTTGAAATTCATTAAAGAAGTTAATTAAAGAACTGGAAAGGATTATTCTAAAAATAAATAGACATATGTCTTATTTAATGAAACATACTTGAATGAAGATACACTGCCTATCTCTCTCTCTCTCTCTCTATATATATATATATATATATATATATATATATATATGATACTGGACTATACAGGGATGACGACAGTCATCATCTTAAGAAAAAAAAAACAAGCACAGACAAAACTGGAAAAGCAACAATAAAGATTTTCAAAAATATGGGATTCAACATAGACATAAAAACTAACCTAAATGAAGTAGATTCTCTAGATGTCACTTGCAGCCTAAGTAAAGGTACATATAAACCATACAGAAAACACAATAATAAACTACTGTATATGTACACACACAACTTCTAATCATCAGCCATCTATAATCAAGCAGATACCAAAATCAATTAACCACAGATTTTCTAACAATCGTTCCAATGAAACCATATTCAATGAAGCTAAGAAAGACTATGAAACAGCCCTAAAAGTCAGTGGATTCCTGGCAAACACTCACATACACACCACACAGGACAAAAAAAAACAGCAGGAAGAAAAATATCATATGGTTCAAACCACCATACAACAAAAACGTAAAAATAAACATAGAAAAAGTATTCATCAAACTCTTACACAAACACAAGCACTTGCCATAAAATATTCAACAAAATCACAGTAAAAATCAGCTATAGTTGCATTGAGAATATAACATAAATAATAAAAAAGCACAACAGGAAAACTATCAACAAACCACCTGGACAAATTAAACCCACGTGTAACTACAGAATAAACAATGAATGTCCCTTAAACAGGAATTGTTTACAAAACAATTTAGTATACTAGACTATGGTAAAATCATCAGATAACAAAGAAAAAATATACATAAGAGTAAATGAAGGACCTGGAAACAAAGAAATTATGCACACAAAACATCTTTTACAAATAGTAAATATACAAACAGCACAATGCTTTTCAAGTATATCTGGGAAATTAAAAACAAAAAGCAAATCACACCAAAATATCATGGAAAATAAGGAAAAGAACATCAGCCTACAACAATCAATCCAAAGACTGCAAACTCTGCTTAGAGAGGGAAAATAGGTATAATTATCTTCCCAGATCAAAACAAACAACTAAATAAATGATCAGAACTCATCTCAAAATGCAGACACAAAAATAAATTTTTACTACATTACTTGAAAATCGAAAACTGAAAAAAAATAAATAAAAATAAATAAGCAAAAACAAGTAAAATAAATTAATCCAAATAAAATAAATAATAAATAAATTAACAAAACCACTCCTGCCAAAATAACTATTAGAATAAACTACCCACAATCCACCACTGACCTGTATATATAAATAGTCGAAAAGAAACACAATGCATGTAGCCTGATGATTGCGTTTAGCATGAAACAGTCTGTTGCCTATATATATATATATATATACACCCAAAATATCAATCAGACACTACTTCATCATAACCTGAAATTTCATGCAAAGAAGCAATCCTTTGAACTGTCTGAGGAACAATTCTTTGCGTGAGTCATAGTCAAATAGTCTTGCTGATATATTTTGGGATTGTATTCCTGCTCTGATCTAGGTGTGTGTTTTTTTTGTTTTTTTTTTTTACTCTCTGTTGTGTCGCATAAATTTGACAAATGGTTCATATATTTCCTTTGTTTTTTTCCTTAGGCACAGTTGGCCTTGGTTGTTTAGCTAAGTTCAATAATTCCAGCCATAAATATATAATAAATTCATTAGAATACTGACATGTGTGCTGGAGTGTTCACATTTGTTGTCCCTTGGTTTCCAACAAGAGCCACTAGGTACAACTAAAATAAAAATAAGAAAATAACTTACAATATCTGGTTTGTCTGAAGGAGGTTTCATGTGTAAATGCTGCATCATAGCCTGCAAGAGTTCCTTTTCACGAGTGAGCTGGAAAAGAAAAGAAAATGGTTAAATCAGACAAACAATCAACAAGTACTTAGAAGTCAACAGACAATGTGATCTCTGTAGAAATTCTCTGATTTACTCTCAAAGATATACAGTGGCTTCTCTTATCTATAATTTCACTTTTGGCAATTCTGCTTAGAAACAGTTTGCAAGTTTTACTTAATAATGGTGTCAAAGTGCAAAAATGGTAAGCCTAGTAATTTGGATATGTCAAAGAGAATCTGTAAAGTGCTTTCTTTAAGTGAAGAGGTTAAAGTCCTTGATTTAATAAAGCGGGGTGAAATAATCACATGCTAAAGTTGCTAAAATCAACAGTAAGAACAAATCTTCTATGCATAAGTTTTATTATAGTACATTGTCAAAATTGTTAAATTTTATTTGTAGTGATTGATGGATGTGCAATGAATATCAGCATGGAAAGTTCAAGTTCTAGTATATTTTGTTGCATTCACTTTCACACAAATGCTCTTTGGTAATGCATGGATTCATCTCTTCCCAACCCACCCAGCTATGTGTTAAAGAGCAGGGTAGATTAGGCTCTCTAGCCTTGGATGGTAACCAGTCGAGGAGAAGGAAAACTGAATAGCTGGGAGGAGAATAAATGGATCTATACCATGCAGAAATTTGAACTTAGCATGCTGATACCACCTTCAACACTGATAACCACTATGCTATATACATATTCATTATATGTATATAATAGCTTGCCACTCATATTCGAGGATATCCATCTACTATGGCAGCTACCCAATCCCTATTGCAGACGCTTGCTCAGGCACATTTGTGTTTGATCAACACCCACAGAGCCCACCTGTGGTTTATACTGCAACTATGCTGAGCAGACCATAGTTACAGTTTCTGGGAGAGAGTGCATTATCTAGCGTGATCAGAAGTCTGAACAAGGCCAGCACACTCAAACCCTCAGTCATAATGACTTGTAACTTCATGCTAGCACAACAATTAATGGATTCCAAGGGTTCTGTCTACCCAATTTTACTCAGAATGCTTGGGTTAACCTGTGGTGTGGTTTTTCGGGCACTTTCCAAAGGTGCTGCACACTGGGATCGACCTTGATCCAGTCTGATAACATCACAAAGTTTCCTTTCTGACAAATCAACCATGGTGAGATTTGAACCCAGGTCTCATGGTCAGAAAGTGAACATTCTAACCACTCAGCCACACGCCCATATATATATACTAGCAGCATGGCCCGGCGTTGCCCATGCTTGATTCAAAAATCATACAGCAATCGCTATCACTTGACTTAAAATATTTTTGCCCTTCCTTGCCTTTAAAAGAGTGCCATTTGCCGTGCTGATGGTGCTACATACCTTACTTCTTGCCTATCTCACACTGCAAATTTCTCTATACTAAACATTAAACCTGTTACAAAAAAAGAATTAAACAAAATGAACACAAAACGATCAGCTTTAAAAAAGGACTCATAACTGGAAAAACCGAATGAAAAAAGAATGTTAACAACAAATACTTTTTCACACCCAACCCAGTTCTGTGGAATCAGAATCAATGTTCAGTTTAAGCAAGTGAATGAGCCAATTGGAGTAAAGTGCCATGCAGATTTAAATTTTTCCCACTTGTGACGAATGCAGCTATTGATTTTTTTGCATGCTGGTATGTTAGTTAACATTCATGTCAGTCAGCTGTTGGCTCTCATGCTGGCCAATAGAATCTTCCTGCCTATTCGTGGCAGCCAGCTATAGGCTCTCACTCTGGCGAATACAAAATGCCCGCAAACTACATGAAAACTGCCGTAGAAGCATGAAAAAATCAATTATTTCCACTATAGATGGGAGTTGGGAAATACAAAGTTGGCCTTGGCCTAACTTGGAGCATGTGCATGTAAATTTTGGTGCAAATCTGTCGAAAATTGCGGCCGTGCATCCATTACACACACACCTTTTATGAGTTGCATTAGCACTTTCCTGATAAAAATATTTCTCGCCTTGAGATACATTAAATTCTAGTATATTTTTACATATTAGATGTTGATTTTGATAGCCTGAAAATTGTGTTCAAGCATGAAATACTGTTCCCAGTTGGTGTCGGCCTTTATTCACTTCTATAGGTGATATTTATATATGCCCTATCTTTGATATTGAGCACTTTTACCTATAAATATAACATACCTTAACACAATATTTTTATTATATAAATTGTAAAGAATTGATTTATTTTTAATCCAATATATCTATTATTTCAAATGCTGTTATAGCAGACACATCTTATTTGAAATAGACATTTCATTTTTATTTATGAAACAGCATGTATTGCATTTACTGGTCTGCACATTTGAGAAGTTTAAGTAAACAAGCATGGAGTGAATATATATCACCCTATATATATATATATGTATATGAGTGTGTTATATATATATATATATATATGAGTGTGTTTTATATATATATATATATATATATGAGTGTGTTATTTATATATATATATATATATATATGAGTGTGTTTTTTATATATATATATATATATATATATATATATATATATATATATGAGTGTGTTATATATATATATATATATATATATATATATATGAGTGTGTTATATATATATATATATATATATATATATATAATGTATGAGTTATATGTGTATGAGTGTTATATATATATATATATATATATATATAAAATGTGTATGAGTGTTTTATATATATATATATATATATGTATTATTTTACAAATTTAGTCAAAATATTAAGATTATTATGAAACCTGTAACCGAAGCAAAATACTTGTGGGGCATTTTGTTAAAGAGAGACTAGATATTCATCTGAATTTCTGAGATAAGGAATTATCATTAATATAGAATCTATTTGAACTATTATCCTTATTTTGGTTGTTACAGTCACAACACTTTCTTTGTTGCTCTCTATAATGTCCTTGTGATCCTTATAAAATGTACTGACTTGACAAAAGAGAATCATGTCCAAAGGTCATATATCTCATTCAGTAACATGTTTTGACTAAATAAAGACACGTACACATTGGGAATCATGAGACCAACTAAGTACACATGTTGCTGATGTGGCTTTGACTATAGAATACATAGAGTAGGAGGTGATAAACTCAGTTTGGTTCACTTTCCAAAATCAAACCAAACCAAAGTATCTATTTTGTAATCTGTTATTGGTCAGGCCAAGAACTTTTCAGCATTCCTTCAGTTAAAGCAACCAATAAGCATTCTAAAAGACAAGTATATGGAGAAGCATCTATCGGATATTGATTCATATTTGCCTTTCAGGCACCCAGCAGTTAAACAAATTGGGTTGGGGTACTACAACCCCACATTGTTAGAAATGGTCAGCCAATATAAAATAAGGAATCATTATTCTTTGTTTGTCTTCTCTTTCCTATTGCAATTCTAGATTGAAAAATAAAAAGTTTTCAGTAAGGCATGTTGTATTTTTATTCCCCCCCCCCACAACCCAGAAAAATGTACTAAAAGATCGCTGAAGAACCTGAATAGTCTATGGCATCTGAGTAAATATTAATCTTTCAGATACTTGAAATCTACATATGAAACCCAATAGTTATTTTGGGCCATATTTTTTTTCATGGGAAGGAAAAACAAAAGGGTGCCTTATGTGCCAACAAATAAGGTACAGTTTTTGTGTAACCACCAACATCTATTTTATAAGAATGAGTTCATTGCTGTGGAGTAAGATTAAACTTTAAGAACTTGAAAAGTGAACAGTGAAACATATACCTAAATAAACCTTAATTCATTTTGATAATGTCTCATATAATATAGACAAGGTCAGTGACTCAGAAGCAAATGGCATCACACAATGTGCAGATGTTATAAGGTTTTTTAATTGCTTATGAAAATTATAAAAAAAAAAAAATAAAAAATTTGAAGCCGAATGGTTCACATTTTTTTTTTATCATTTTACTCAAAGCAAGGGGAATATGCTATATATCACATTCTGATATTCGATTAGCCTTTATCAAGGATGTTTATTTTATTTTATTTTTTTTTTTTACTGAATACATAGATTTTTATATATGTGTATCTATAATGATAGGAATCTTTATTTTCCAAGCATGCTTAGCACAATATGGGCATATTCATAGTTGATAATATTGAGTGTTAGGCAAGTTAATAATAAAGTGTGGTGGGGGAGACTGTAATATGTTTTTGTCATTTAGGACTCGAAAGGAGATTTTATATATATATATATATATATATATATATATATATATATATATATATAGATACACCTAGTGAGCCAGAAAAACCTACCTAGGTTTCACCTAAACGGATCGTCAGGGAAAGTTTGTTAGTTAGTTGTTACTCGTATCGGGATTTTTCTTTGGGCTTCAGATCTGCATCTGTGCGATTTTTTTGTCAGCAGAAGTTCATGTTTGTAGCTCTTTCTTTTTTTCCCTCGAGATTGATTTGATCAGCAATTCAAAAATCCGAGGGTTTTTCGAAACGAGTCTAGTTATCTATATATATATATATATATATATATATAGTTGTATGGATATGAGTTTGTAATCTTGTGTTTCACACTTTAATGATCATCAGACAAACTGGTTTATTTTTTAAAAAATTGGATCTATTTATGCTTGTTTGTGTAAACCACTTTGTCTGATGATCACAAAAGTGAAACCAACAGTCACAAACTCATATCTGTACAAGTAAATATGTTAGCTCTATCACTAATATTGAGCACTTTCCAATAAGTACTGCACATATAAAATAATAAAAATAATACATTATATATATATATATATATATATATATATATATATATATAATCATTAGTATGTGAATTCTAAATGTAAATATGAGATTCAACATACTCCTGAAAAGGACTAATGAAAATATCACCCAAAACATTGTGTGAAAAGCTTCAAGCAAAACAACAAGCTATTTAGTTCCGTCAAATTGTTCTTAAGATTTCGTTGTGTTTTTTTTTCTACATGTGCCACAGGCACA